CACACAGGTAGAGAGAACAGCTGGTTATCCACACACACCTACATACAGGTAGAGAGAACAGCTGGTTATCCACACACACCTACACACAGATAGAGAGAACAGCTAGTTATCCACACACACCTACACACAGGTAGAGAGAACAGCTGGTTATCCACACACACCTACATACAGGTAGAGAGAATAGCTAGTTATCCACACACACCTACACACAGGTAGAGAGAAATGCTGGTTATCCCCACACACCTACATACGGGTAAAGAGAACAGCGGGTTACCCCACTCCCCACACACGCACACGCACCCCATGTGTAGCTCAACCTATGCAGTCCTTCGCCCCACCAAAAAAGAGGTCTCACAGGGGGATTCTCACAAAGGGAACCTCATAGGAGCTTCATAGGAGAAGCATGGGAGTCTTGCATGAGAAACCTCAGAGAAATGCCTCATAAGAATAGCCTCTCAGAATGAAACCAACAGGCAGCGCGCCTCAAAGAAGGAACCTCGGAGAAGGAAGCTCGCAGGAAGGGCTCTCGCTCTATGGCGGAGGGCAGTGATACACGGGGTAGCGATAGATGCTGCACAAATGAGAAATTCTCACAGTGTGGTCGCGTCGGAGCTGGTCGATCAGCAAGCGCCAGTTTCTGACGTCATAGTTGACGCGGTAGTAGCCGTACACGTCCAGGTTGCCGATGACCCAGTCCTTGTCGGCCACGCTGTGGACCAGTGCCTCTGTGTGTGCGCGAGAGAGAAAGAAAAGGAGCGAGAAATAACGCGTGAAAAATAGTTTGTTACACGCCTTTTGTAGAAATTTTGTAGAATAGTGGCTCCCGCTTTATCGGGCCTCGGATAAACGGGTGCATGGCTTAACAGACGTGAGTCTTTCAAAACCACTTACGCACGTTGCTTTATCATATGTTTACTGCTTAATCGGGGCTATTATATGATCGGTACGTTTTCACGGCTCCCGACATGTCCCGATAAAGCGGGAACCAATGTAATAACAATAACAATTACGTTAACAACAACGATAACGACAACAACAACAACAATATTGCTAATAACGTGAAAAAGACGTCAAAAATATAACAACAACAACATTAACAACAAATAAAACAACAATAATGATAATGATAATGATAATGATAATGATAATGATAGTGATAGTGATAGTGATAGTGATAGTGATAGTGATAGTGATAGTGATAGTGATAGTGATAGTGATAGTGATAATGATAATGATAATGATAATGATAATGATAATGATAATGATAATGATAATAATAATGATAATGGTAATGATAATGATAATCATAAAGATAATGACAATGATAGTGATAATACAAACACAGCTTACGTGATGGCGAAGTGAGCCACACGATCGCTGGATTCGCCCAGTAGGAAGGTAGTGTGCTAGCGTCAGCTATTGTGAATGGAACCTGCCATATATAGCTGAAGCATGACAGAATAAAGTCGTACCCATGAATGCGACGGAGATACGACGGCGTGCAATAACGGGCAGCTTCTTCGTTCAATTGTTTATTAGTCATTTTTAGAAGATATAAGTGAAGAGGTGTGATGTAAATTATGGAGGAGCTTCCTTTTTCCCTCTGAGACAGATTAATGGCAACCGTCTAGAGAAATGATGCTCAAAATATGTCGGAAATACTAGACGACCACGACGCTAACGATGGCGATATCATCAACGCCAATGCATCGTCTTCACGCCACGAAATGGAAATGAGAACGAAAAATTTGGCATCTCGATCGCCCTACTGCAAACGTATTCTCACGACTTCCAACACGTCTAATGCTTACCACCACATTTCCCTTCAATTCAAACTGCCACGATTGCCATGTATATGAGTGTCATTCACTATCATAGATCAAGCGTAATTTCTTTAGAGGCCACGTTCTGTAGAAAATAAATTTCTACCGACTTACTTGAATTTGTTTTCGTATTTTGTCGATACGGTCGTGTTGGGGTCGACCAGGAAGTGCTGCTGCGTCAGAGAGATGGATTTCCGGGATCCGTAGCCGCGTGTAACCGTTACCATTGGGAAGCCCATCTGTAGAGTCCACGTATCCATCACCGTGGCAACGTCAATGTTCTTACCATCTGCCTTTGCTTGCTGAAACAAGAGAATTTCGCGCCGGCGACGTAACTGCTAGCGCTCGGTAAGAACAGCTCGTAAGACCTGAACGGACGATTCATGTCATCAAAGGTACGATAACAACATAATGATATCAGGAGCTGATGATATGTGGTGGTGGTGGTGGTAGTGGCGGTGGCGGTGGCGGTTGCGGTGGCGGTGATGATGATGATGATGATGATGATGGTGGTGGTGGTGGTGGCGGCGGTGGCGGCGGTGGCGGTGATATTGATGGTGATGGCGATGGTGATGGTGGCGGTGGCAGTGGTAGTGGTGGTGGCGGCGATGGTGGTGGTGGCGGTGGTTATGGTAGTGGTGATGATGGTGGTGGTGGTGGTGGCGGTGGTGGTGGTTGCGGCGGTGGCGGCGGCAGCGGTGGTGGTGGCGACGGCGGCGGTGGCGGC